TTGTTGGTTGGGGCGTCTGTACGCTGTCTGTTGGTGTGAGAACTCAGAAAGGAGTGTGTGCCACCGTGGGGGCAGGTTACACTGGCGGGCCAAGACTGCATATGATAAGAGGGTGCCCCGTGACTTCACTCCTTTGGTGCCCTACTCCAAGCCAAACCAACCTTGCCTGCCTGACCCTGCCTGCATCCCGAACAGAAGCCTCAGCCCTGCAATCACTGCCTCGACATTCCACTCAACCCTTCACCTCTACTGCAGCGGGTGCCCCAGCGAGCCCGAGGTACCTGTACCCCAGTTCTTCGTATGGCGTTTCTCTCTCTCTCTCTCTCGCTCCTATTATTCTTCCACAGGGTTTAAGGGAGAAATCTCCTGGCCCCTAGAACCCCCATTATCGCGTTATGGCATGGGGCTTCGAAGGGATCGTGAAAGCTTTCTGCGGGCCACATACTTTGGAACAGGAGTATGTAGTATTAACACTGCGAAACATAGCATGCTTCCCTCTCTCTTGCTTGCTTGCTTGCTTGCTAAGGGTCTGGGGCCTAAACCGAAGGCCAACCCCACAAAGGTTCGCGTCCGTGGATGCCCCCGTCTTGGGGGTGCAGAAGTGTTCCCACCAGGTGAGCACAAGAAGGACCCTCCCGAAGAACACCCCTCCTAAGGCCCTGACCGTAAAACCCCAACTTTGCACTTCACCTGGGTCCTCCACTCTGCTTTCAGCAAGAGACCAACGTTGGAGCGCCACTCCCCGATGGCTTTCTGCTGGTGCCGGTACTCTCTCAGCAAAAGGCCCCCAAGAGCCCCCGAACAAAGTAGATACAAAGTAGATGACCTGTTACTGCACTGCATCAACCAACACTGCTCACTGCCGGCACCATGTCTCACTACCGCACTCTACCGGATTAACCCAACATACCTGCCTCCCCACCTGACACCGAACAGAACCTCCACAGCGGCACTGCCTGGCACCTTCCCACCCCACCCCTGAAGCCTCAACTCACAGCAGTGTTGTATTGCCGGGTTCGTCGGGTACTGCAGCCATGCATGCATCAGCAGGTTTCAAACAAAGCATCCTACCGATGATGGAGGGGAAGATCAGGTGAGTGGGTACCATAGACAAGGGCCCCTGTATGCTGCTGATCCGGCTGTTCAACGACCCGCCACTTCGTCCCCGCTCGCTCATGGTAGTTGGAGGCAGCATTGAACAAGCAAATAAGCTACGGTAGAAAGGTAACAACACAAACATAACACAGGTTAATCGTCATTATCCAGGGAGTTGGGACTGGTGAATGCGCGTGTTCGGCGCGCCCCCTTGTGGGTTTTCTCCCCCTCACTGGGGTAATTCCCCTCATGTGTACTTGCGGCGGGTCTGGTAATCGGTGTTGAGGAACTGGCCGCCCCACTGTCTCCGTCCACTAGTGTCGCTCCCACTGGGCCCGCAAAGTTGGCTTCCATGTCATCTGTAGGCCCCCCGGACTCAGGTTGCTCTCGCGTGGTTGTATAGGGAGGTCCCGGGTTAGCCATCATTTCCTCGTCGCTGCTGAGGAGCTGGACTGCTTCTCCCCAATGTTCATGTATCCACTCCCCAAGGTGTTGCAAAGCTTGATCCCCCAGCTTCCGCATCTCCCCATCAAGGAAGGGAATGAGGCGCCGCAATGTTTTTTGGGCTTTATAGGCGTGCACCGCATTCGGAGGATCTCGTTCACGTTGCAGGGGAAGGTCTCGTTCTCGGTGCTGCGAAGGTTGCCCTGGTTGTTCTTGTTGTGCAATGACATCTGCCGGGTGGATGGTTTCCGCCTCCCCTCGGTGTGGGTAGATTCCCACCAATACCCCCACCCCTGTTGCTGCTTCGTCCAGAAGGTTGCGGAGTCTTGGCAGGATGTCCCCCACGTTTGGCGTCGCGTTCTGGATCTCCCCCGCGTGGTCGGTAGCCGTGGCAACAGTGAGGAGAGCTAGTGCTTCTTCTGCTGCGTCTGTCGCCCAATGAGTAACTTGCCAGTTGTAGCTGTGGCGTCCCCTGGTCAATAGGGCCATCCCCGCTTGTACCAGTTCCAACAGTTCCAGGAGCTCCGCCATGCTGGGCTGTTCCCCCTGGTGATTGCTTTCCTCCATGACGCCAACTGTAAGCGCCGCAATCTCGAAGGCGTTCGGTGTGGGCAACGGTCTTCCCCCCCAGTTGGTTCCCTTAACCCGGGTGACATGCAGCTGTGAAAGTCTCGTGGCTGCTGCAGCCAGGTAATCCACAACACCTGGCACCCCCACATTGTCCGCTAGTCCCGTAGCCTCGGTGATGAGGTCCAGGGCCTCCGTCGCGTAGTCAGCCCGATGTTGTCTTCCCATTCGGGGCATATTCTGCGGCCGCTTGGGTCTCAGAGGAAATGGACGCGAGTAGCTGCGACGCTTGACTTCTGGCTCTGCGCAGAGGGCTTGGCGTTTGTTGGGTTTCCCCCGTCTGCTGTTCCCCCCTTCTGGTAGGACTCCTGCTCCTCGTGGTAGCGGGCCGCGTCCGTGGTGTTGTTTGTTCATCTCCCCCCGAGGTAGCCTCCGTGGTGGTCGTCGAGGTACTAGCGCATTCTTGGCTTAGGGAACCAGGTTGACTTCCCCCGGCCCTTTCTTCTGTTCGTCCTCTGATCGAGACCTGGACCAATGCTGTGGGCTCAAAGTCCGGGTCGTGGTCTCTGTTTTGGTCACCTTCTTCTCCCCGATGGCTGCGGTGATGATCTCCCCGATGTCTATCTCTGGCGTTCCCTTCGTGGTGTTGGTAAGCCCCCTGGAGTGCAGGATGTTCATCTCCCTGTCCAGCTTGTGTGCGCTCGTCCGCTGGCACGTTCATCCCGTCGATATATTCGGCAAGTCTCTCCCCTCTCAGCAGCAACCAGATCGCATCAGCTTCACATTGCCCGTTGGTACGATAGCTTTCGGGGAATTCGTTTGCGAGGGTGGCGAGGAGCTGGACCGCGCATTGATACCCTTCTTCTGTGTCCCCGGCCGGGTCTGGCCCCGGCCGGTGTAAGCGACAGATCAGTTGGTGAACACATGCATGACGACATTGGAGGGGCATGTTCCGGAGTTCTCCTCGAATCTGATTGAGGAGATCTCCCCACGTTTGCTTCCCTCTCTCTCTCTCTCTCTCTCTTGCTTGCTTGCTTGCTTGCTAGGGGTCTGGGGCCAAAACCCCCGGCCCGAAGGCCAACCCCACAAAGGTTCGCATCCTCTCTCTCTCTCTCTCTCTCTCTCTCTCTGTCTACCAGGCAAGAGGTGCAGGGCGGTCACACTCCGCGCACTCCCTCGCTCTCTGCTCTCCTTCGCTATCTGCACTCGACGAGCCGGATGTGTGCTTCAGCGCTGAGGAGACACTCAAAAACCAAACTATCCAGACAAGGCTCATGTTCTGACCAAACCTAGGCCGTCAGCACATGGCAGATTTCGACCTATGTTTCTCAACTGCGCAGTATCGCCAGCCACCTGTACAAATGGAGGCGAGGGACCAGCTCCGACTTTTCCAAAGTCGCAAACGGTGGTGGCCCCCGTACCTTTGCAGCACCATCCTCTGGCGGCATCATGGACTTCAACACCTTAGCGGAGGTCAAGGAGTCAAGCCTTTTCTGCACGGTGCAGAGATGGGTTTCGGTTTCAGTGTCAGCCTAGGAGCGACGATCAAAGCTTCCACCTGATCAGCGTTGCCCTTGAGAACGTTCACGGCCAGCGCAGCGCAGGCCGTTTCCACAGCTTCCTGTCGAAATTCCACTACAGTTTATATCCTTCTGGGACTCTGCTCTGTGCTGCACTGTCTGCTATGTCACTATTGACTCACTATGTCGGATTCTGCTGGGCTTGTTCTTTCTGAGACGGACTTGACATTGTAAAGATCCAAATATGATTGCGTAAATCTGGGCAGGTCTATAAGGCAAGCAGCTTTTTTGCAAAGCCTCCACTGGATGACTCGGATGACGCCGCTGGACTCATGCAACCGTGTTTTTACGCGAGCGTGAGTGCGTACGCATGCGCGTGGCGCGTGAGCATGTGGGCGGGCGGGCGGGCGGGTGCCGAAAAACGCGGGCGCGGACGGGAGCGGGAGCGGGCCGAGGGCGGGGGCGAAGGAGGGGTGGGGCGGGCGGGGCCCGTGGTTTGGAGGAACTTGGTGCTTTCAGGACCCGAAGAACTGGGAGGAGCCACAGAAAATAACCTATAAAAAACTGTTTACAATTGTTTATACAGCTTACACTTGACTCGTTGAGGGGGGTCGCGACATCTGCTTTGCTTTGCGGGTGTCAGTTTGGGCACTTGGGATTCGGGCTTTGGGCTTCGGAGCTTTGGGGGGCGGCTGTCCGGAATGCTTTGCTGCTTGCTTTGCGCACTGCATCTGCCTGTTGTTGTTGTCTGGTTGTTGGTGTGGAGTTTGGTTTTAGCATTTTGGGTTCGGCACTATGTTTGATGGAACGAAACAAACCCAGAAGCCGTGAACCCCTAAACCCCGAACCCAAAAAACCCACACTGACCCAGAAACCTCTGAACCCCTAAGCCCCAGACCAGAAACCGCAAGCGACAAGCCTGAAGCTGGCAAACTTGCGACTCCAAACCCGGGAGCCTGCCTCGTCGATGTATGCGGCCTTCACCAAAGCCTGAGTTTTGGAAGCACACCGTTGGCAATTTTGCTGGATCCCGCGGCTACAAGTTGTGTAACTGCTGCAGGTTCTGAATTCAGTCATAGTTCTCGTGGAAATTCCGTGTGCACTGGCGACAGTTCGACAGCATTGGCAGCATCGGCACGTGCGACGTGCCGACGAAGATTTGACGCGGTATGCAAAGAGAAGTCTGTCTCCGCGTACTTCAGGAAAGCCAGGAAGGCAAGCACGGCCAGTGAACATGATCGGAATCTCTTCATAATTCTGAATTAGCTTGAGCAAAATCTGCAGCCGTCGTTGGCTCGGGGGCAGTGGGTCAACACAGCGCTCCTTGCAAATGTTCAATTGCTCTACCTTGTTCCCTTCACCTCAGATCCCAGCCTCGCAGATTTGCAAACCAGCAATGGCAGTGAACACCTGGCTAGATGCCCTCGCGGCCCTCGCTTACATAACCGCTGATGTGGGCCCTGCCTTGGTAATGGAATAGAACTTGAAGACCGTCGTGGACTTGTATTGCCCCAGCCTCAGATGATCAGAAAAGCACCTCCGGCGACCGAGTGCCCGCTGCCAGGTTTTGAGTGCGCAGCTCCCACAGAGCCACAACCTGCCAACGCAGAATTCATGTGTCACCTACGATCTGCCGAGTGTATTCATGCGCCAGAGTCTCAAGCATGGAAAAAAGCTAGATGAACGTTCGCCGCTCTATTATAATGATTCGCCTTGTTTTCGACCCAGCCAGGAACTAATTAACTTGTCACCCATAGTAACTTCACTACCAGCCTCTGCAGGCAAAACAGCAAACAAAACCACACCCGCTCGTTCACATCATCCAGCAAGGCCCTTAAATAGATGGGCAAACGGGGCTCCGTCGGGACACACAGTCACTACTTGCGGCGAGCTCCCACGGACCAAGCATGAGAGAAGTCGGTTTGAGTGTTGGCGTCAATCTTCGGTTGGTTGTAAGGGGCATAATACGGACAATCGACCCCATGCGACCCCATGCATAGGCACCTAGCCACTTCGGCTAGCAGCGAGCAGGCACTTGAAGAAACACACGCACGCGCACACACACACACACGCGCGAACGAAGGCAAAATCGGTTGCAGGGCACGAAGACAGACAATCATGTCTGCACGCATCCTCGCACCGCATACTGTGTGCAAAATTGACGTGGAAGAACTGCAGTGTCCAGGCCTTACCCCTCCTCACGATGGCAACCAACGCACCTTTTAGCAGCCCGGGGGTGATGTACCTGTGCTGCGCAATCTCACGCTTCGGCATCCATTCTGCCCTTCGACCTGTCGTTGAAACCACGCGCCAGCTCGTCCAGCTTCGCCAGATTCAGGCCATCGGAATCCCGTGCCCCCGAACCTGAGAAAAGAACTGTTGCCAGAAACTCAACCAAGCAACCTTTGAAGATGCTCTCGCTGGGAGCACTACATTGCAGCGGTACCCTCGTGATTCTTTTGTCACTTCGCCTTGTCGCAGAGACTTGTTTGATTGCCATAGTCTCCTGCCTCTCTTGGGGCGGCTTTAAAAATTGCGGTTGACTGCGTCCTCATATATGTACTGATTTGGACCGTTTGTGTTGGCATAAGCAGCAAAGGGACGGACCGTGTATTTTTCTCAGATGAACTTGTTCGTGTTCGTGTAGAACAACCAATTCTGCCTAGGTCCCCCTACAGTCCTCTTGCCAATGTGGAACATCTGTGCCGAATCTGGCCGGTAAATTACTTGGCATAAAGGGTCTTGCAGGGGCGTACACGTCATATGTCCAGCCAGCTTCGCGCGCTTTCCATCAACATTTCTGAAAAGAGTTTTGTCCGCCTATTTCTCCATTAGCTCTCTCATTGACTCTTACATTCGTGTTTGCTGTTTACATAAGTGGTCTCCATTCCTCAGAACTTCCGTAAGCCAGATGCACAGTTAAGCCCATACAGCAACTTGTTCTTGATGATAGCATCATACACGTGAAGTTTCCAATGCTTAGACAAGTTGATGGATTTCCAGAAGTCGTGCAGCTTGAACCATAACTTGAGAGTTCGATGAATTTTATGGTTGATGTCATGCCTGATGTCCATAGCCTGAGTGATCTGATGTCCTAAACAAGTTGCCTCATTAACCCTTTTCAATCGTGTGCCGTCTGCGAATTTAATGATATTGTTACTGCCATTGCAATTTGTCTCTGTTCAATCTTAGCCCAAATTGAGCTGATACCTTCTCTATTTCGTGCAAAAGGTTATTGCATGCTTGCGTGCATGTGGTGATTATAAGCGTGTCGTCCGCATAATGCATTTTGTCAAAGTCAAGTCCTTCGAACCGCACATTGCGCGTTCTAGTTCTATTCGCTAGTGTCATGATCAATAACTCTCATGGCTCGAACAAGCAAATACAGTGAAAGAGGGCAGCCTTGTCTAATACCTGAACTCTGAACTTTAGTCTTGTATGCTTCATACTCTTCAAGGCTGCTTCAAATTCTTCATGAATATAAATGAAGCAAGCGTTGAATACACCGTCTAAAGATGAAGTTTTGCTAATTGTTCGATGGTTAGTGTGTTTGTGTTGTGCCAATGCTTTTCTTCCGAATATTTCGCAACAGTCTCCGCGCTGTCTTTCGGTGCAACAAATTCCCATGCATGTGTGGAATACTGTCATTCTTCATTCCTGTAATTCCTTTCCATGTCGCTTTCTGAAGTGCGATGTATCCCAGAGACTGCTGATGGCCAACATGCGGCAGAGCTGCAGATCGGAGATTGTAAAGCGCTGCTCGAACATGTCGCCATCGTGTTGCCAGACTATCAAGACATGCCTGGCAGGCCTAGCGAGGAAGCCAGACAAGGAAGTCCGCTGCCAAAGGCCTGGATGCAGAACTCGTTTATTCGATACAAATCTCAAACCTTCTTCTGAGAATGTTCCACAGAAAACATGAAGGAAAAAGAAAGACAAGGGTTCCAATGCAAGTTTTCGAGTCGTAAGTGCAGCCAGCAGGAACCCCACATGCGTTGACAACTGCACCGAGACTCATGCCAAAGTAGAGCGCAAAACACACTCCTGAACAGCACTGAGCAGTCAGAAGACTACTAGCTGCAAGCACGGCAGCCCCAGTACGGTCTCTGGTCCTGTCACAAGGAGAGCACGAGGCTGCACTGACAGAAGAGTTCCGGTCTGCATGATAGGATCCTGCGCGTCGTTTCCACAGAGTTCTGAGTTGACAAAACTGCCTGCAGATGTTGAGAGCTCACCTCGAGTCCATTCGACTCTCGGCGATCATCATTCGAGCTCAGCTCTCTGGACTTAGTTAGTTAGCCGGTATCGTTGATTGCCTGCACAGCCGCAGATGCAGCTTCGTCCAAGCGTCTAAGCACCTGCTACATCTCATGCTACATCTAGATGGAATTGCAAGCCGTTGTGCTGTTGCCGGATCTGTGTGATGCTGAAGCTTGTCGCGGCGGAATGCAGCGGAAGCGAAACTGACATGAGCGAAAGCACGGAGGAAATAGGTACCGTTCCTGTCTCGTCCTGCGGAAACACCAAGTGTGCTGTTGCGACTGTGGGTTGGACAGTTGACATTAGCTTTACGTTTCTCTTGGTACAGCCAAACTTGAATTCGCCTAATTTTAGGCGTGTGTACAAACAGAACTTCCGCCCAAGCTGTCTGATTGACATGGCTGTACAACTTGCCTGGCATCAATGCAGCTTACGCGGGTTGATTCACGACATGAGCTGGGCCCAGGTCCATCAGCAATGCCTTTCTCACCAACAAGGCCTAAATATTCAATGCTAAATGCCAGATCTAAAAGCACAACACAGTACGCATTCTTATGCAGGGCCCTCGGGTGAGACGAAGGGCATGGATCTCGCCACGAAAACGAACTGCAATGAGCCAAAGCGCCCAAATTTGCAGGCACTGGCAGCATGGCAGTGAGCCGACTCCATGCACCACTCCACAGCCTGCACAGGTGCGAACATTTCGGCAGCCCTGCTATTAGCGATGTCACGCAAAAGCACCAAAACGCCGGCTGGACTATGTCTATGTGTGTCACCTCATCCGAGCATTCGGGCAGCATGTGCCCCAAAATAACTCTGCTTGCCGCCGTTTTCTGGCAACGCCTCAGCCATGCGACAGAGCTGACCAAACAAGCACTGACTTGGCTTAAACACTCGCACCATGACCAGGCCCCATACAGGATCTTTGCGCATGATCGGTGGAAGTGCCGCCCCAATGCCGCCATGCGGTGCAGGCAACTGAGGCGGCACCAGCGGTTGCTGCATGCCTTCCACGGATCAGCCAAGGTCTCAATCTCAGGCGTCCCACTAGCGATTGTCAGTAAGTTTGTATGACCTGGCTGGTAGCGTGCCATCTTCAAATAGCGGGCGCCAGGGCCTGGCAACAGTTTTGCTTTACAGAGCGAGGACCTCACAATGGTCAACCAGACCAGGGAATAAAGGCACAGCCGAGCTGGCTTTTCTTCGCGCTGGAGCTGTGGCCTTCACCCCTGCAGACAAACACCGAAGTTTCGAGTCCCTCACCGCTGCGCCGCTGTCCTCAGGCCTCAGGGGTGGCAAGTTAAAGCCCTTGGAGCCTTTCGCGTTCTCCTGGGCGAGGGCGAAGACCGAAAACGAGAGGCTTCGCGCGAAGGCTTTGCTCGGCCCCGGCCTTGCCAGAGTGCCTGCCTGTGCTGGGATGGCTGCCCTGCAAGAAGACTCCGTACTTCAAGGGTGCTCTGCACTTGTGCCGCGCCAAGGCCGCCAAGGCACCTCTCCTTTCCAACTTCCTCGCGTGCCTCAAGCCAAAAACTACAGACAGCTAGTATTCCGATGCCAGCGCGTGAGATTCATTGCTTCACGATGCGGACCGTGTGACGACCATTCAGTGTAGCTGTAGCAGACGAAAATTGATCGATGAGAGCTCAATGAAACAGTGGACAGCCAAATTTTCGGATGCCGATGCTCCAACCCACCACTTAACAAGGCACGGTAACTTCTACGCGTACAGAATGAAGTTTCAACACAGGACTTTGGTCCCTGACGGGTCAAATAACCAAACGGCATTCTGAGAGGGTGGGCATGTGGCGGAGAGACAAGGGAGGGAGGGGGAAGAAGGGTAGAAGGATTGCCTTCATCTTCATCTTCATTGCCCGGATGCCCGTCCGGTGCCCAACCTGAGGATGGTGCCGGAAAAGCCATTGGAGGTCACTTGGCCAACCTGCGTTTTGCGACTGCAGCATACGCTGGTCCATGTGCTTTGCACGGACTGCAGGCAAAATTACAAAGGATCGGTTTATCAGTATACGAAGCCGACTCAGCTCAAATGCAACATGTCCGGTAAAGTTCAACTTACAGCCGCTTCGACCTAGCAGAGCCTGTGCCGCTGCAAGTGGTGCCGGAGGCTTCGAAGGCATCGCGCGAGGCATGGCTGGCTCCTGTGAACCGCCCGCCTTGTCCGCCTTGCTTGGCTTGGCAAAGGCAAAGCAATGCAAGGCACCAGACTTTTTTCACGAGCTCAGCTGAGCCCGTGTCTGGCAGATGGGGAAGCTGAGAGGCAGGAGTCTGCTGGGACCTTTGCAAAACCGAGTCAGACGGGGGAGGCTGGGTGGATCCGGCTTAGGCCCCGACTCATTCAGCGCCACTTCGAAATAGGGATGTTTCAAGACTTGCGCAGTCGAAGGTCTTTTGGCAGGATCCCAACTCATCATGGCCTCAAAAACTCGGCATGCTCATGAATGCTCAAGCATCCTCAGGATAGCTGAGATCGGTGCCAGCATGATGTTAATGCCATCAGAATTGGACTGAGGCACCAAAGTCTCGAGCTTCGTTGGGACGAACTGTGGAAATCGATAGTTTATCCTGAAACCACTGGGTGCTCGGTATCTGTCGCGAAGTCTTTGCCTTGTGCTTGCCAGGCAACTGCGATGCAAGCTTGAAGCCATCTGGCCAGCTCGCTGCCGTCGGTGTCCCAAGAACCGAGCATATCCTAATTTGCTGGGCGCGTCCCATACTGAACTCTTGCAGAAACAGCATACATAGCACACAAGCCCAGAAAATATCGCTTCAACTCCAAAATAGCAAAGACCTCTTTGTAGGTAATATTCAAATTCAAAGTTCTGTCAGAAGCTGAGGCTCTTGTAGAGCTCGTCTGATTCTGATGACCCCGGGAACAAGGGTCGAAGTGTGTACAGTTCCGCCATGATGCCGGCGCACGCCCAAAGATCAATCGGCGAGTTGTAGGTAGAACCTTCTTCCAGACAGGGTTCGCGCGAGAGAGAAAGAGAGAAGAGAGAGAGAGCGAGAGACAGACAGTTTGGAGCAGATGACCCCGGAAAGCCTACAGCCTAAGGTGCTGGCTTCGCAACAAAACCTGCAGGCGCCGTGAAGGCAGGTGAACAAAAGCGACCGTCCGGCAAGGTCTCAAAACGCCTCTGGAGCTCGATACCATCGTGTCGAGACATAGTCTGTGAACGGTGGCCGAGCTCGAATTTGCCGTGCCAGCCCGAAATCGGCCAGCTTCACCTCTGCAAAGAAAAAGCTGGGAGCTCAGAGAGAAAGAGCGAGCGAGAGAGAGAGAGAGAGAGAGAGAGAGAGAGAGAGAGAGCGCAGGCGGCAGGATGAAAGGAAAAAGGCGCACCGTGTCGCCGGAAATCAAAACATTCTCTGGCTTCCTCAGCATCAGAGAGCAAGAAGAACACTTACCTGCCAACAAAGTCAAGACCGCCGTAAGCCACAACTTGAAAGCCAAGGCTCATATCTCTGTGGAAGTATCCAGTTTTATGCACGAAGTGCAATCCCTCGACGTGTTCAGGTCAAAGTTTCAGTCCACACGCTCTGGTCATAAGTTTCGCACATTCCGTGCCTGCATGGTCTGAAACATTATGTTTCGGATCTTCGACTCGGGCAAGGGTCGCACCCGGGATTTCATGAACTCGTACAGGTTGGCCTACAGCAGTGCACGGCTGCTCTTGGAGACACCTAGTCGCCGATACCGACGGGACGGCAGCCAGCACAGTTTGGACGCCTCCATCATCTCAAAAACCATGTGGAGCTCGTCATTTTCTCTGATCACTTCTTTTAGTTTGACAATATTGGGGTGAATGAGCTGCCTGGCGAAATTTGTGGAGTGCTGCACTCACGAGACGGTAACCAGGCATCCACCTGCCTGAGGGATTGGATTTCCCGCAACTTCATGCACTCGTCCCAGCTATACATCCTGTGCTTGACTCGTGCCATACACAAGAAGCAGCCACCAACAAAAACAAAAGCTTGGAATGTGTCACTAATGCCACCGGGTCTCTTTTGCTTCATCTTCTTTATAGCTACGACCTGAACAGCGGGCAAGATTTGATCATCCCGAAACCAACAACAGTACCACTACGTTGTCTCTGCTCAACAGTTGCTCCAAGAGAGGCTGACCTCACCGGTCTGCTTGTTTTGGGCTCGCAGGACTGATCCGTACGTGCCATCGCCTAGAACTTTGGTGACCTGCGCGGGATTTTGACGCCTGCATCAGTTGCGGATCAGTCGCCCCAAATTGCCTTGTACCGGTTCATGGTAGGGCCACACTTGGATGCAATGCCACTGCCGGGAAATTCCTTCTCTACGGTGTTTCTGAGTTGCAAGACTATTCTTTGGCACTGGTCTATCGAGCCCAGCACTGCCAGACCACTGCTCTCGTGTCCTAATGTCTCTTCTTGAAAGGCTCGCACAGTGCCAAAGGCCTTGATTGAGACAACATCCTTCCAATGCAACACCACACAGAGTTCCACAAGCGTGGTACGCACCAACTAGTCACACATCGACATGCTGCCGCGCTATTTCTGTCCGCATGCAAAACTGGCGTCTGGCGGCTAATGGTCTGCGCCAGTTCCAAGCTTCTGGGCCCTGCATTTACAGCATTTCGGAAATGCGGGCCGCGCAAGCTTTGCTAACGAGCGATGTGGGACCAAAGAGCAATAACTGCAGCAATAACAGAAGCTATTGAAATACCAACGTCACTGTGCTTCAGGTCCCACACAGAATACTTAGATCAGTAGGCCCCGTCGCTAGTCGCTAGAAGGTGCCAGCATCTGCTATTGCTTTTCTGTGTATGCATGCTTGAGCATGCACACGAGTTGCCGCTGCGGCCCCAGTCGATTTGATGGCTTTGCTGATAAGATGTTGTGCATGTGCTTGTCGTACATCCCAATCGACATCGGTGGCCTGATCTCTGCAATTCTTGATCAGTAATAAAAACTTCCGTGCTGGCAATCGAAAACAACAGTCTCACGAGCAGTTCAGGCATCCCCTGCAGACTTTGGCAGCTCAGTTATCTTTCCAATTGCAATCGTTCGTCCGTCTACTCGAAGAGTGAACCGGCCGAGTTGTGGAGAAGATGTAAACGTGTCCACAGACGTCGGTCGTGCCAGCTTTATGCTGCAGACAACTACCGAATCCGGTCTTGCGAACTGTGGGTTCTTCTCCTTCTTCTTGGTTTGAATAACCATGGTCTCATACAACTTGAGAATCTCGCATTCTTCGCTTGCGGTGTGTGCATGCATGACAGCAACGTACCCTGAAGTCATCACCGGCCTGTCGGGCCCTAGCTCAATGACATGAATAGTCGCCTTGAACTTGGAAACGACTGGGATGGGAACCTTGTCTGCGCACATTACGTAGCCTTTCTTCAGCTCCTCATCGCCGATCCCCGACATCTTCAAGGTAACGTTCTCACCGCACGTGGCAAACTGCATCTCTACATCGTTGATGTAAACTGCTGTCACTTGACATTTGTTGTTGGTTGGCATCACGACACACTTCATCCCAGGTCTGACCGTGCCCTGCTCTATCTTCCCGATGGCCGTGACTGCACCCATGTCTTTGTAGCCTTCCATCATTGGAATTCGCAGTGGGCCGTCGGCTTTTCGACCGGCTACAGAAATGCCATCCAATGAGTCAAGCAATGTCAAGCCGGTGTACCAGGCAGGCGTGCCTTTCCTTTCCTTGATGTTGTCCCCCATCAACCCCGACATGGGAAGAAAAATGACTTGGTCATCCTTGTAGCCACTCTTTTTGAGAAAAGCCCCTATCTTTTTCACAATGTCGTTGTACCTCTTCTCGTCCCATTCGACAGTGGGGTCATCCATCTTGTTGATTGCAATGACCAGCTTCTCGACTCCGAGAGTTTTTGCCAGCAAGGCGTGCTCGCAAGTTTGTCCTCCCTTCTCAAAGCCTGTCTCGAACTCGCCTTTTCTAGCAGAAACCAATAGCACACCAACGTCGGCGGCAGATGCTCCTGCGATCATATTGGGAACGTAGGACTTGTGGCCGGGAGCATCCAGGATTGTGAAGCGACGATTCGTCGTCTCGAAGGCTGCCCGGCCCACCTCGACAGTCTTGCCCTTGACTTTCTCCTCCTCGCTCGTATCCATGATGAAGGCCAAGAACCAGCTTTCACCGGCCTTGTTGGCGGCCTCCTGCTTGTACTTCTCGATGGTTCGCTCATCGACCATCCCACAGAGAAAGAGGATGTTACCGCAAGTCGTAGATTTGCCAGCATCGACATGGCCAATGAAGACCACGTTGAGGTGGGGACGAGGATCTGGTACCTTGCGATCCGCGTCCTTTCCATCTACTTTGACCTCAGCAGGCTCTGCCGAGACCTCCTCCGGCTCCTCCTCTTGCGGCTGCGGTGCCGGAGCTTTCTGGGCCTTGCTCGAGTCTGCTATCTCCTTCTTTGGAGCCGGCGCAGGCGCGGGCGCGGGCACGGGCGCAGGAGTTTCTTCCTTTTCTGCTTCCGCCTCCCAGTCGTCTTCCGGCTCTGCGGGCATCGGCTTCTCGACTTCCGGCTCTGCTTTGGCCGCTGGGGGTGCCTGAACCTCCTCTCTTTCGGGCTCTGGCTTGGGCTTTTCCTTCGGCTCCTCAACGGGCAGCTCGCCCCTTTCGAAGGCCTCTGCGCGCGCTTTGGCAGCAGCCCGTGCCTCCTCCTGCGTATCTTTGAGCGGCCGAACAAGTGTACCCGGACTACTACTCTGCTCCGAAGGTTTGCCCGCCTGCTGCTTCAACATTTTTTCCTTCTTTTCGGCAGCCTTTCTCTTCTGTTCGGCTTGATACTCCTCGAGGGTCATCTCCTTATGAGGGAAAGGATTCACTCAAATGCTGGATACACGGTCAAAGAAGAAAAAATCAGGCGCTTGAAGCCGCGCGGCAGTGGGCTGGCTCTTCGCCGCCTTTCCGCCTCCTTTGCTCCGTTCCTCGTTGAGTCGGAGCTTTGTATGGGAAATTCTGGGCAGCGCATCGACCAAGACCCTCGCAACTGTGCATTGCAAACAAGGCTCGCTTGCTCCTCCGAGTCCTGAGGAGCCCCCGCTATTATTCTTGCCTCCGCCACCGCTCTTGCCTCCAGATTTTCCGAAGCCTGCATTCATGAAATCCAATCATTCAGTGTTGTACCATCGCCAAAAAAACCCAAAATCCGTGCAGGAGGAAACAGCTGAAAATCGGGCCTTGGCTCTGTTGGCCTTGAGGCCCTGGCTGTCCTTGCGGCTCTTGCCCCTTTCCCATGAAGCCTTGGCCTTGGCCTTGGCCTTGGCCTTGGCCTTGGCCTTGGCCAAAACCTTGCCCGTAGCCCTGCCTCAGCTACGGAAGGTTTCCGTGTCACGGCATTGACTGCGCGAGTCACATTTCGAAACACAACAGAATTGAAGTTTTGTCGCTCCATGTGACGATTCGGAGGCGCAGTCTGGACAGCGATGAGATGTTCTAGTTGTGCTGTAATGCATGACAAGCGATCAAAAACAACCAATCCCGGGGTGCTTAGTAAGGATGCATGTGGTTCAAGATTAGGACGACGAGATGCGTGAGAGTGTTCTGTGGCAACCGACGATCTTGTTGGTGGATATACACGTTATTATTTGCATCAAAACTTACTTACATATCGGTCTAATGAGTAGTCCGACTGTTTGTGCAGGAGCCTTGCTTTAGTCGCTGCCAGAGCAAGAATACCATGCCCGTTGGGCAGAAGTTTTGGCCAATAGACCCTGCTCCTGATACGTCGGCTACCTTCAGCCTGCTCATTCTGCAGTGTGAGGTCAAGCTCAGGTGCCACATAATTCGCCGGAGAAGCCCCTCCGGCATGGTTCGTTCCCATACTGAAGGATGCTTCTCAGGGATACAGAGAGAACAGAATACCTTATAAAATACCTCCTGCACATACCCTATATAGAACACCTTCTACAATACCTTGTGGAATAACCGAAGGAATACCTTTTAGACTACCTTATAGAATACTTTATGCTGGTCCCCCGATATAACGTACATACACATTACATTAGAGAATACCATCTGGAATACCGCCTGTATATGGTCACCCCTATATACCTTACATTTGCCATATAGAATACCTACAGAATGCCTATGGAATACCTTATGGGATTTGCTCTGGAATCACCTACAAAACACCCTATAGAGTACCAGAAGATGGAAAACCAGTCGGAGCTCAAGATCTGAGAAGTTCGCAGTTGAACGGTAACTTATGGGTAAGGGGTTTGTATGAAGGAAATCAGGAACCAACACGAATAGCCTTAGAAGTACCTTATAGAACGCCTTCAACTACCTTATACCATACCCCTCTATGCATTTAAAATTTTTTTCGAAAGGATACCCTGCAGAATATCTTACTAAACATAGGCTACAGTATACCTTTTGCACAATACCTTATGGAGTAACCTACAGAATACCTTATCGAATGCCCGATAGAAATACCCTGTAGTAGAATACCTTACAGAAGACCGCCTATGTAATATACCCGCTGTGTACCTTAAGTATACCTTACAGAAGACCGCCTATGTAATGTACCCTCTGTGTACCTTAGGTTCAAAATACCTAATAAAATATCCTCTGCAATACCTTTTACGGTACCCTGTAGCAGCATACCCTATAGAAAACCATTTAAAACAACAATCAGGAGGAGTCAAGATCTGAGAATTCACCACATAAACATTCATCCTGAAACGTGATGACGGCTGTTCTTACGATCTGTAAACTGAGCTCTGAGTTCCTACCCACCAGACCGAAAATTAAGGAGCTTATATGGTATCATATATGAGGGCAAAGACGGCAAAGAGCTCCAGGAGAACACCACACCACGCTTTGCTCCGTGGACTCCACATGACAAGCAATGGCAAGGTGAAATTGCGACGAGGCTCGACTCACTTTACGACGACCCATGACAACCTCGTCGCTGCCGTCGCTCTACGACTGTATGCGAAGACTTCCGTATGCGTACTACAGACTTGCTCCTCGTTGCATGATCCCAAGCAGGTGGGCAGAAGGTGAAACGACAATGAATTGGCCTAAGCGGGCGTGGGGGCTGGGGGAGGGGTGCCCTCCCCCAGGCATACCTACCAATGACGCACGCAACAACAAGTAGCAATTGTTGTCGTGCTCTCATCGGCATGGATGCAACTACTTACTGCTCGTTCTCATTATGCCTAGCGGTACTGGCATCACTGTCGGCCCCAGGTAGCAAGACAAAAAGCATCTTCTCGGCATATCGAGCACAAAAGGGGACAGTCTTAAAAATGGCTTCGCTTGGCTTGGCTTGGCTTAAGCGTGAGGAGCGGAGGGGGCGAATTGCCCGCTCCCCACCAACCACCCACCAATGACACGCGAAGAAAACCAGGCCAGCAGCAAAGAGAGGACCTGGACACCGACAGACCAGGCAGACTGGAACGAGGAAAGGCCTCACCAGGGGACCAAGGACCACGGACCAGGGACGAAGGGACCAGAGGACCAGGGATTCGGGAACCAAGGGACCACAGGGCCAAGGACCGGCCGTAGGCGGAGGAAAAACCAACCTTGGCCAAACCTTCCACAAAAGACGGACACAAGTGCACTGCAAAAAACAGGTCTCATTTTCGGTTTGGCACCGGCTGCAGCTTCAAAATCGACGGAGTCAACTGGTCGTAAGAACGGAAAACATGTCTCAAAGCGGCAGTGTGCGTGCGCTCGTGTATACACTATCACTATCTGAGAACAAAACGACACTATACAGGAAAAACTGCTTTTTCCTTCATGCACGCTTCTTGCAAGTCGATCTTTCGAACGTCTTCGGAACCTCCTCCTCCTCCTCTTCTTTTCGCCCTCGTTTTTTGCAGCCGGAGTTATCGCGTATCCAGGAGCCATTCCCTTTCTGCAGAGCAACCGAGGCGTTGTGATTTGCGCCCAACTGCAAGTTCTGGCTCGAAACATCTCGAAACACTCAGGTTCGTCTAGCGGCTAGCGCACTGCCACCGCAGGAATGGAAGTTGGCAGGGTGACAACGAGCTGTTTACAGCAAGCGGTTGTGCTCTAATCTCCAAAGGCGCAGTGCAAACAAAAAAAGCTTGCATTTACGCTTGGCAGCATATTCAGAAACTCCTGTTCTTACTGCTTTCGGGGCCCCTACAGGTAGAAAAGTGTTCTCAGAATATTTTTCTTGCAGCACGTCGACTTTCTTCTCAGATTGTCCACGCCTTCAACAGCGTAAGGTGCAGCCTCCTACTGCCTTGCGACTCGAGGCACATCCCGAAGACCGCAAGACGCCACGGCAACCCGCTGTGACGCTTGCAAAATTGAGATTGAACAATCCACCGAAACCTTCAGCAGGCAGGACCTATCGGAAGTTGGTCGGTGAAGCTTTCGGGAGGTCCTCTTGTTCCGGTAACGGGGGATGCGGATGAATATCCTGAGGGATGGAGAACAGAAAATGCGGTTTGCTCCTTCGCTTGCGCGGGGCGGCGCAAACTGACGGAAATACTAACAGACTGTCGAGGAATACCATGGAATACCTTTTCACAGGTGCTTATGGGCAATGGCAGGGTGAGTGAGAAGTTTCAGGCATGATGCACGTAACGGCGAAACGCAGTCTCCTCACGTCCAATGCCGCCAGGGCTCTGCTGGGCCATGTAGGCTTGCTGCTGCTGCCACATCTGCTGCTGCTGGTACATCATATTGGGGTCGTAACCATAACCTTGCCTCAGACACATTGCACGCTTTCCGCTAGTGCTTCCTTCAACCTCGGCACCCTGCACCAACTGGACTTGAAGGCAAAGGATCGGAGCGACAAGGCGACTGTAAAGAGATGCCGTGACACTTGTGGCAGTGGCAAGGACAGCTAGCTTTCAGAGCTCAGCCTGTTGCAACAACAATTCAGACAAGGCGCTGGTAGCCATAGCCATAACCACCCCCGTAACCACCCTGCATGATGATGAAGGTCCCGCACGCCCCGAGCACTTAAGCTAAAATCTGCGGTATCGGAACAGTGCGATTCTCAAGGCTTGTAATAAAGTACGGTGCAACACGAAATACTGGCCAAGCCACTGGCACTCCTTTTTGCTAATCTGAAACTGCGGCAGAAGCATTTGCACACATTAACTAGCTTTAGAGACTGGAACAAGTGAAAGTCTCTTCCGCATAGTCCCCGGAAAATTCCTGTATGTACATGCAAGATCAGGCTTCCGGACAGAAACTCTATATGTTTTGCTTGGCCAAAGTCGTCATTACGTTCGGGACATGTGGTCTTGCCGATGGCCCGGTCATGCAAGGGACTTCTGCAGCTGGAACCATGAGCTAAACAGATGCTGCAGAGTCAGGTTGGTGAAGCTCTCCGACGGTGCATGCCGGACACAAGCTTGACCTTGACGTGGGACTTGCAAAGGCCATGAGCAGCAAAGCACACTGCAAGGGTGCTCGACCACAAACTGCAGCCTGCTGTCGCCAGTGCACGCAACAGTTGGTCAGGACTTTGGAAGCACATGCAGACCTAGCTGACGAAACACATGCACACGTATGCTCAGCAAGAATAACTGCGACGCGAGAGACAGGCTACGACGACAACATGACAAGAAAGCCAGATTGTGGGCAGCCGTGCATCGTGAGGAAAAACGGAAAAGAAATGTTGAAAACTGAAAACAGTAAAGGCCCTGACTCACTTGGCAGATTGGGTCCAGTCCGCCGTTTCTACCCACAGCCCCTGTTGGCATGCCTAGGGAAAAAAAAGTCATGCCCTGCAACATCACAACAGCATACCCACACGCGCACACACACACACACGCACGCGCACACATGCAAACGGAGAGGCACACACACCCCACTGAAGCGGGGCGCAGGCTTAAGGCACCTGCAGCTGATGCATCAAGAGTGCGCGGCAAGACTCTCGAATGCATGGGACAGGCAAGTTCAGTAGTTGCAGGCCTCACAGACTCTTGTGAAAACAAGATGTTCAAAAACACAGGACAAGATCATTGCCCCGGCCCCCTGGAGGTCTCAGCTGTGGTGGGCTCAGTCACGAATGAACTTGGATTCATGTTGCGTGGTCGCGGTTGACTTTGGGATGTGCCATGTGGTCACGCTGTCGGCCGTCTGCGGTAGGTGATCTGCCAAGACGTGTTTCGGTTGCTGCGGCAGGCTGGTGTCGCCGCTTGGGTCTTCAGGTGCGTGGGCTGGCGGTCCGCGGCGCTTTTGCATGCTGTTGTGCTTCGGTGTCTGCTTTGGTGCCTGCCGCTGTTGCTTGATGCCAGGTT